TCGAAATATAAAAAAATTGATTTTAAACAATTAAAAATCAAAATCAGGAAACATCTTTTTTCAGTCATGGTTATTGATATGATATTAATTTATGCAAAATCAAATAGAAATCCTCTTTTGGCAAGTAATATTTATGTTGAGCTATACCCGAATCATCGTAATCCTAACATCCAAATGTTTGGACGATTATAAATAAATTTGAGGGACTATGGTGCATTTGACTGAAAGAAAGCAAGAAAATGTGTGGTTACTGGAAGTGTGATGAATCAAATAAATGTTGTGGGTAAGCAAATATTACCACATCATTTACATAGGGAAACCAATAAATGTTTGTTTGGGAATTGTGAGAACAAACATCCATGTACCTTTCTTCTACGATATTCATTTGAATAGTAAAATGTATCTTCATTTTCTGTTCAATGAATTCGATGGCTACTTATATGACTTGCCAATGAATATCCTCCTTGAAATACAATATTTTCAACAGAACGGTGCTCCTTCCCATAATGCAGCAATAGTTTGGCCAGTTAACTGGCCAGCTCGATCCCCAGATCTTACTCCTTTAGGTTTTTTTGTCTGGTGATACATAAAGAATAAAGTTTTTCAACACCAAGTACAGATATCGACCATCTCAAACATTGCATTGCATGCATTGCATTTCACTTGCAGTGCGGTCTTTTTTGCTACGAAATTGACACCGATACTATCATTATTTTGAAATAATTCAAGTGATTCATTCATTTGCATGCATCTGAATCGAATAAAAAACTATATACTCTATATCATCGTCTCCATTTCATTTGAGATCTATCTCATTACCGCAACATTGACAAAAATTATACATGTAGGGAAAGAAAGGTTTCGGCTTTCTAATTCTTTCTACGAAACAAAGTGGAATGACAGTGTAATATGTATAAGTGAAATTTCTCCTCTTCCACATACTGTATTGTGTAGCAATCCCGTGAATGATATCTGATCAGAAATGCCATAGTGGTTATATCTTCCCTGGCAAACTTTTCCGTGACTCCGCTGCAAGATTTAAAGCTTGGTCAGAAAAGACGCAGGACGATCATGACCTCTAGCCTAGCTCTAGCACAATATTCAAATCTAAGCAATGGTTTTTTTTCAAATATTTGTTCCTGAATGCATACTCCTGAACATCAGTAGAAAACGTCCAAAAACTCGGTGCTTTATGCGAGTTGTAAACTGCCCTTCCCCAATGTTATTTTCTGGATCCGCCACTGTATAGGAAATGAAAATTATAAAAGTCGAAAGTAACATAAGTATAGGTACAAGGAGTGTATGTAATAAGTCACATCTTTAAGGTCATCGGTAGGAAAAAAAAATAGGTATCGAAGATATTGAAAGAATCTTTATATAAAACTTTTTAAAATGTAATCGTTTATTACGTTCTGAGTAAATGGCAGCAATTTTTCACAAGTAGTTACAATATATCCAGGTATGGTAGTTAAGGAAAAATTTGTGGAAAATGGTCCCAAATGATCCACTTGAACAGTAACAGGGTGTTGACAGTTAACATAACGAGCATAAGTTTAAAATAGTATGATAAATTGACGTTGACCACAACATTTTGATTGAGCCTGGTAATTAAATCGTCCACCCGTCTGTTGTCACCTTGCGAGAGTAAATAAGCAGCTAGGCGTACGTCCAGTGGTAAATCTTCATCGGGTGCATCCACTCCTATGCCTACAATAAAAAAATTATTTCAGTTTATGACTAGATTGAAAAGGAAAATTTGGAAAGGGAATGTAGCTTCACTGAAGATATAAGGAATTTATGTAAGTTTTGAAGTTCGTAGTGACAACTCGCCTATATTTCGATACCCATTATATTAGTTTACTAGCAGACCCGGCCACGCGTTGCTGTTGCTAAGGTATTTATTATATTCCATTGTAGTAAACTATTTAAGAGGAACGGTAGGAGAACATCAGTCACGGGGACCACCATGCTTTTTTACATAGATGCCATTTGTAAAAAAATATGGAAATTTCAATTTAATTTAGCACGAATCGGTGCACACTATTTTTGGTTAACCTGTTTTTGACTAACACAAATAGATTCGACGGTTTGCCTACACGTGGACATGCAATATATTTAGTCAGGGAAGCTATAGATTACGCTGTAGACGACCCCTCCCGATATAGAAGGCCCCGACACTCTGTCGAATGAGGCCCCTACGTCCTCCGTTAACAGATGAATAATATCTTCATCCATCTCGCCCCAGCCAGGTAGGGGTATACCGCGAAGGGCGGTATGGATGTCTGAGGACTTTCATGCCACCATCAAACATCAGTCATGACCCGTTTGTCTTTCTGGCAAACATCAGTTCAAAGGGGAAGGGAGCCAGGCTTCAACCTGAATAAAATCAAGATGGATGCAATATATCTATCTCATGTCCATGAGAAAAACATGGATTTACCAAATCTAAATCACAAATGAACATTGTTTGACCCTTAAGACATATTTATAGACATGGCAAAAGTTGAACGAATTGGAAACTGTAGCCTTCTGAAGGGTATGGTAGAATCTGACGGGATCATTGGAAAATGAAAAAAATGGTTGCCTCAAGAATATTCCTGTGATCCTTTTGGTGACCAAACGCGTACTTGTTGCATAATTGGGGTGGATTCAAATTAGGTAGGAGAATAATAGGGGAAACAATCTTTAATCGAATATTATGTGATGGCATTCCAAGTATAACTAATGAATTTAAAAATTCAATTGGAAAATTTACACTTTTATTTTCATCAACAACAGTATCGATTGATTTAGAAGACATCAGATCGCCTGATAACAGCTGTTGTATCTGGAAGATAAGTTCGTCAACATCAACATTTTTGGCTGCCAAAATCGCCCGATGACTGAGCCAGTTATGATTAAAGTAACAATTGAAACAACAATTGAATTTCACGGTATTTCGTTTACTACAAAATAAATTTGATCTATACTTTAGCCTCAACAACACGTTGTCCTTATGATGCACTGTTTGGAACCTTTGGTGTAGTAATGAATATTACTGGAGTTTTTTCCCAACACCGAATCGTTATTTTTAACACCTCGACACGTGTTCATCTTCAAAGAGGAAGATTAAAACTAGAAACTGATGCGAGCTAACCCTATTTATGCTCTAAAGGTAACCCATACAGGTAAACCATCCAGGCGTACCAACCATACAGGTATACCAACCTAAATTAATTTTACAATTTTGCCTTATCTATTATTTTACAATATATGTTTATATAAAACAATTTTCAGCTATATANATTGAACAAATTTCTACATACCCTCGTGACGAGTTTTTATTATATTTAATTTCTTTCGGAAAGTCCTTCCTCATCAAATGAGTTGAGTGAAGTTCTGAAAATATTCGAAGAAATGTATACAACAAAGAATTTGTTGCACATTTCGTAGCACAACGGGTATTTATTTTTTATTGTGTATCTACTATGTATGACATTTTCAAAATGAGTTTTATTTCTGACACGGACAAACTCCTTTTCGGTGAGTTATTTTACTACAAATCTATTATAATTTTTTAATACTTCAAAACGACAACAATTTGTTGAGGGGCATGTTATGAAAACTCATTGTTACAAAACCCTGAAAAAGAATTTAATTCAATTCGAAACGTTGGTAAAAAACAATTAATTTTCGGAGAATAAATGATCCCATTACCCAACCAATCTTTTTGGAAACAATTTCAATACCTTTTCAACAATGTTAGTATGAAGTATTTCCGCTTTTACTACTGAAATATTTCTGAATTTTACTCACCCCTGTTATTCAGGCTGAATATGTTTCTCTCCATGAATAAATGCTCTCTGTCTCTCAGGAAATTACCGAGAGTATAAGAGATTTGATCTAGAGCTTCTTGTACTTTTCTCAAGACCGTAAAATTCTGAATGAAGTCGTTACAGTCCTCCGTGGTGTAATTTTCGTTGGAAGATTCCGGATTATTTTCGATGTTTTCTACACTTAGATCGTCTTGGTCGTCGTCACCGTCATAACTTTCTATTTCGAACAACTCCGTTGGGTCGGGGTTATCCAATTCGATGTATTTCACAAGTCGCGGCTTCAGTTGTCTAATTTCAACCATTTCTTGTATATTCTCTCGGTGAAGTGATCTACAGGTCCACCCAGAAAGAAAGAAATGCTCAGTATAAAATTGAAAGTATCACAATTCTTATGAATTGTCTTTCTTTAGTTGAAACCTCGGTTGAAACATCAGTGTGGTAAGAACGGAAATATGAAAAATTAATATTGCGATAGAATAAAATGAAAAAGGTCTCAGCAAAGTATTTTTTTTTAAATAAAGACAAAACACAAGCACTACAGAAAAATCCTCAAGGTGCTCTAAGAGCGGTGCCTGTGCGAAAGTAGTGATTCGCATTGTATTTGAATCGCTGGAGATTAGGTCCATTTGGGAAAATGTTCTCAGGTAGTTTATTTCACATGAATGCAGTTCTTCAAATGTTACGGCATGCGCGCGCTGCCGCTAAAGAGAGTTTATCAAAAGAAATATCAATGACATAAAATGTCATTTTAAAAATTTGAAAAAAATTTAGTATCTTCTTAACACTTGTATGAATCGAGTCCCGTAGAAAAAAAGTTTTATCGCTATTTTTTAAAAAGTTATTCAATTGTTAACTAACAAATTTTTTCCCAATCTCCGTTGGCATAAATAATGGGATAAAATTATCTACAGGAATTCACTCA